AATGTCATTCAGAAGGGCATGACTGTACTTACATCTTTTTCCAAGCATTTTTGTGAATAATTTTCAGGCATTTACCAGAGTAATCCTACATTCTGCAAAACACATCCCAGACTTTTTGGCTTTGATATAGGCTTTGAACTGACACTAATGTCTAGAGGTGGAAAAATAGCAGTGAGGTACATTCTCACCAGTGTGGTGAGAAAGATTGTTTTGGCCTGGGTGCATCTCTAGGTGGGTTCAATGGCACCAAGCATATAGTTCATACCCAAAATTATACTGGGTATAGATACACAGAAAGTAGCAGAATCTTCATTTTAGTTTTCTTTCTCTGACACTTGAAATGAAAATTATCATTGTTGAAAGGTTCACATGCAAATAAAGTTCTTGAAATTGCTCCCTGTAAGACACTCTCTGCTATAATAGTAAACAAAATTCAACACATTCTTGAGAGAAGTGCTTTTTGATGGAATCCCCAAGGATTCATGTCTGAGTTCTGGAAATAAAGGGATGAGAAAACACTGTGTCAAGCAAAATACTGTATCTTTGAATGTTTGAAAACCTGCAAGTCACCTCTTTATTGTGCCATGGGAATAGTGTATCACCATTGCAAGTGGATTTGAAGAAAAATTCCTCCACCCAACTCACCCAGTGTTGATTCATGCAAGCCCACTCTTGAAGTTCAGAATGGAGAAAGGACTGATGGAAGACAAGGGACAGAGATCATCACAAAGCACCCTAGATTTGTGAGGGACCACACATGCAGTGTAGCAGACAGAGCTGCTCAGGGAAAGCTTATCCTGGGGCAGGGGCCAGAAATCATTTTGGGGAAAGATAGAAAGACCAATGATTGCATATATCTAACATATGGGCGACTCTTCTGTGATTAAGGAGATCTCCTTAAACAGACTGGAAAGATGAGATCTGGGTAGTTTCTACCTCTGTAGGTAGAAATTGAATCAGAGGCTACATGGTTCTGATGTATTTCCTGCTGGCCTCCAACATCATCTCCCTGCCCTGCTCATCCTGGCCTCTTACCTCTTTATCATCGCCACTGTCTTGAGGATCTCCTCCTCCCAGGGTCGTCTCAAAGCCTTCTCCACATGCTCTTCTCACCTGACCTCTGTCACTTTATACTATGGCTCCATTCTCTACATCTATGCTTTCCCCCGGGGATCTAGATATTCTTTAGATACGGACAAAATAGTTTCTACATTTTACACTGTGGTATTCCCCATGTTGAATCCCATGATCTATAGCCTAAGGAATAAGGATGTGAAAGAGGCTCTGAATAAACTCCTCCCATAAATCAAGATTCTCTCCACCAGAGGAGAAACAAAGATGATTTGAGATTGAGTCATTTGCTTTTTTTGTTTTTGTTTTTGTATTTCAAGCAGAGTTACCATTGTGCTCCATCATGACCAGTCCCACCCATGATACGTGACAGTTACAGACATGCAATATAAGAAAATTAGGAAAATTTAGAAGAAAAATTCTGAATATATAAGAATTTGAGGTGAATGTCTTGTCTTTCTAAATTAAAAGCAAACATAAAAATCTCCTGGTTATCCAGGGTGATGGAGGCAATATTGATAGATGAAGTCACACAAAAGTTTCTTCCCTTCCTGCCTGCTGCATTGCTCTGCCCGCAGATACCATAATGTACTGCAGATACTGAAATTGATAGACTTCATATAGGAGGTTGTGCGCCAGCTGTGGTGGTAGCAGTGGGATTTGTGATTGACTTATGTTACCCAGAGGAGGTACTCTGGTGTTTCAAGCAATGAACATGGCCATAGAGCTCTCAAAAGTCTCTGTTCTTTGTGTTCAGCTAAGAGGTTGGTTAGGGGGTAAAGCTAGATGAGGGCTGGGTCAGGCAAGTCTGCACTCTGGCTGCCCATATGTGGGCACATGCAGCTACCCCAATGAGGATTGGATGGCAGTTCCATGGCCACTAGGTTGACGTTTCAGTGAGGAGTATAGCTGCCTCTGCTGAACAGAAGAGTCCACAGTGGAGCGAGGAGTAGCAGGCCACAGTAAGCCCCACCCAGCTGCCACACATGTGGCAAGACAGGTCTCACACCTGCAGTATTACACCTTGATTGTCAGGCAGCCTGCACTCAGAACTCAAATAGACCCCAGGCCACTGACCTTCCTAAGGGAGACACACCACGGCTTTCAGAAGATGGCTCTCCCATTCATCCCATGAAGCAATGACACCCAACTTCCACGCGTATAAGGCTTTAGCAAACTTTCTACCTGTGCCTCAGTTCTGGACAATGGGTTTCATCCCCATTCAGGATTATATCACAGATCTCAGTTGGGAGCTTCTCTTACTGCCCCACCTATGTTAGCTGGCTGACTTCTGCAAAGTCCTCTGTGAGGTAGGATTAGGAATGGCTTCCCTCTGTCCCCACTGATGACTGGGAGTGCAAACAAAGCATGTCCTAATGCTGCTCCTTCTCATTTACTCCCCACTGCTCAGTAGCTCAACTCCAGTGCTGGGTAGCATTAAGGCCTTCCTCCGTGGCCTGGATTGCCAGGTTCCCCAGTGAGTGTGTATACCCTGATGTAGTTCCTTCCTATCTCATGCTCTGGAAACTCACAGTTTTCCACCTGGCATGGTGAGGGCTGCAGCCACAACTTCTTTCAAAGGGTCTGTGGTTTCTTTCAGTTTTCCTGTTAAGTTCCTGTGTTGCTTCTTGGAAAAATCCCCACAGCACGTCTTTGCACTATTTAGTCTGTCCAAGTGTGAGATACACACTAACCAAACCTCCAATCTACCATCTTGAAAAACTACTAACAAGTCAATCTTAAATAAGCAAACCAATCAGTTAATGGCCAAAATAGAAAAAAGAAGAAAAAGAATAGACGTCCCTAAGCAAGAGGGACTTCTCGGGCACTCACTCTGCTGTTGGACTTAACCTGCACCATTGACTCTCCTGAGTCTCTAAGCTGCCAGCTGGAAGTGCACCCACAGCTCTCCTTGGTCTCAAGTCTCCTATGCCACACTGCTCAAAATTAACATGTGTATATTGTAAATACAATATGCAAATTGAATACACACACACATATGCACACATTCTATTGGTTCTGCTTTTCTGAAGAATCCAGACTAATACAACCACTAGGAGTTGTGCATTTATCAAAGGACATTAAGTTTAAGAAAATTTTTATGAGGAACAGACCACTCATATGCTTTTGAACTTCAAAAAATGTTTTATTTATGAAAACATATATAAGAAAAATCTTACAAACCACTTTATCTCAAGAATTTAAACTTTGTGACCTCAGTAATCAAATTCCCTTAGGAATTTATATTTTAATTTCAAATTAATATAAAATATTTTTCTGAATACTTTGAATCCATAATTTTCAGATGAAACATTTCCAAAAGTGAGTGAAAAACTTACTGCTAATTTTATACTTAAACAGATTTCTAAACTATTTGATAAAACATCTGGCCACATGCTTCATTATATTTTATGTTCTTCTTTATTTTTATATCTTCCTAACATTATTATTAGCTGTACTTTACCTTTTCACTAAGATATCTGTAATATTACTTAGACATGATTCCAGAGCTAACTTCCAAGCATAAAACAATATAAATATGTACATAGACCAGCCATATTTACAATATATGGGCATATTCTTATTTGAAGAATAAATTTTGGTAGCCTCTCCTAAAAATATTAGAAAAGAAGCCCTCAAGTAGTTTGAGGACTCTCCTCTGTAGTTACCTGTCAGGGTTTATGACACCATGGTGTTTTAAGAATAGTTATGTCACATCAGTTTTATTTTCTGTAATTGATGCTTCCCTCTGAAATGATGTATTTTCTAGTTACAGTCAAGCAACATAAAGTAATTGATTTACTGCCACTGTAATATACTAATTGAGTCTGTTAACATTAAGAAATATATTTTATAGGAATTTTAATATCATTAGTGGGAAATAGAACAAGTATTTTAGACAACCAAAGACTGGGTTGGCGTAAATAGTGTTCCTTTTTAGAACATTGCCTAAATTGAGCGTCTTAGAATTACACTGTTGGACTCTGTTTCAGCTGTGTTACTGAGTGTTACAACTTGTATTGATTTTATTTCTTGCACCCACTTACCGTGTTAATGTCCATGATTGCCAATGTGGATTTACTCTTTCGCTCTGTGTGACTCTCTTACATTTTCTGGATTTACCTGCCTGATTCAGTTTCTAGTATTTTCTTTCTGTACTGCTTATGCCACTTCAAACAAGGAAGTATGTATGTTTATAAACAAATTACATTAGTTCTGTCTTACACTGAAGAACTAATCAAAATTAAATGCCACTTATCATATTCATCTTTTTGTTTTTAAATTTTTTTATTGATAAATCATAATTTTATACATTTGTGGGGATAAAATACAATGCTTCAGCATATGTATACATTGTGGATTGAACATCTCAGACTAATTGTGATGTCCATCACCTCATATACTTATCATTGCTTTGTGGTGAGAACATTTAAGATCCACTGTTTAAATGATACACAATACATTACTATTAACTGTAGTCACCTTGCCCGGCAATAGTTCACCAGAACTGATTCCTCACATTTACCTGAAACTTTGTTCCCTTTGATCAACAATTCTCTTTTCTCCACTCACCCTGCCCCAGTCACTGGCAACTACTGTTCTGTGTAGTAGTTGTACCAGTCAACCAAATCTTAGGCTAATGAGGTAGGCTGTTCATTACTTTACAAATATATAGGAGAGGCTTTGGGCCTAAGTTTTATGTTTGCTTTTAATTTAGAAAGACAAGACATTCACCTCAAATTCTCATATATTCAGAATTTTTCTTCTAAATTTTCCTAATTTTCTTATATTACATGTCTGTAACTGTCACATATCATGCGTGGGATTGGTCATGATGGAGCACAATGGTAACTCTGCTTGAAATAAAAAACAAACAAAACTCAATCTCAAATCATCTTTGTTTCTCCTCTGGTGGAGAGAATCTTGATTTACGGGAGGAGTTTATTCAGAGCCTCTTTCACATCCTTATTCCTTAGGCTGTAGATCATGGGATTCAACATGGGGAATACCACAGTGTAAAATGTAGAAACTATTTTGTCCGTATCTAAAGAATAGCTAGATCCCCGGGGGAAAGCATAGATGTAGAGAATGGAGCCATAGTATAAAGTGACAGAGGTCAGGTGAGAAGAGCATGTGGAGAAGGCTTTGAGACGACCCTGGGAGGAGGAGATCCTCAAGACAGTGGCGATGATAAAGAGGTAAGAGGCCAGGATGAGCAGGGCGGGGGAGATGACGTTGGAGGCCAGCAGGAAATACATTAGAACCATGTAGCCACCCTTCTCACCACAGGCCAGCTTTACCAAGGGAAGCAAATCACAGAAAAAGTCATCAACGATGTTTTCATGGCAGAAATTAAAGGAGAACGTCTTTTTGGTGATGATCGAAGAGTTAATAAAGCCCCCCAAATATGAGACTGCTACCAGAGAGGCACATAGCTTTATGGACATGGTCCGGGCATAAAGCAGGGGCTTAGAGATGGCCACGTAGCGGTCATAAGCCATGGCAGCCAGCAGGTAGCACTCACTATAGGCAAGCCCAGCAGAGAAGAAAAACTGACACAGGCAGCCAGCAAAGGAGATGCTTTTGTCTTCAGAGATGCAGGTCACTAGGATCTTTGGGGTGTAGACAGAGGAGTACCAGAGATCCAGAAACGATAGATTTCCAATGAAAAAATACATGGGTGTGTGGAGGCGGGAGTCATTACAGATCAACACCATGAGGGTGATATTTCCTACCACAGTCAGAGAGTACACGCCCAGGAACACCACAAACAGTCCCAGCTGCATCCCTGTGTCTGTGGTGAAGCCCAGCAGGATGAACTCAGTCACTGTGTGATTGCTCCTCTCCATGGCTGTAAGGAATCTCACATATGAGCAAGGAACATTAGCTCGGTTTGAATCACTGTGATGAATATGTAGAATTACGCTACACAAGATCACATCTGCAGTAATCCTTGATGTTTAGAACCAACAATCTATTTGTTTGTTTTAGGAAGTTTTCATTTTGCAATAGACACTGCAATTATGTATTCAATTTTAAATTTCTTAAGTTGCTTAATAATATTTTTCCTTTAAGAATGACTGTTCAAATAAAGAAAATATGTGCTCATAATTCCTGTTTTTCTTATACTTTGATCATCTTCCTCTTGTCAATTTTCTTTTTTGCTAAATGTGTAAATTTCTACCATTAAGTGTCACTTGTTTGTATTTAAAATACTGATCTTCCCTCTTAAATAAATTTTTAAAAAATTATTTTTTATTCAAGTGCTTCTATATATTGAAACATGAAGGCATTATAAATTCATATCTCATAATATTATATACATATAGGCCTAAGAAAATACTAAGAAATTGAAAAAAAGGAAAAAGAGAATAGATAGAAAGTTTTGGGGAAAATGTATACAGTACAATGATACACAATGATGAAATTACAAAATACAGAGAGTTTACTGTGTATTTCATACATTCTATAATAAATACAATAACAAAAATAATTTTAAACACCAATAAAATATAATTTATATATACTACAGTATTGCTTATGATTACCTGGTAATCCACTCACTCTCCTAGGATTCTCTGTATATAGAATTACAAATGTTCTATTGAAATGGATAGACAGAAGTATACCTAGCAAATGTACATCTGTCTTATGCTTTAAGCCCAATTCTTGCCATGCTAATTTCTCATTAGCCTAAGTTATTTTGTAGGTAAGGAAATAAAAATTCAAGTGTACATGATTTTTATTTGTATGCTCATCCTCTTGGAACCTAGGAAAAACATTCTGTTCACACTCAACTCTCAATATGAGCATTAATAAACATCAATGATAATAAACAGTGTTATTTCTGAGTAAATAGAGAACAATATAAAATTGTTCCTTTTGAGCTTTTGCTACCTCTACTTCATTTAAGTTTCAATAACTTTACCAGGCTAAACCCAATGTGAAGTCCTTTTCTGATTAGATCTATCTCCAGCATTTCTCATTGTTTATTGCTCCTTCTTTCTAAAAAAATCTTCACTTGGGTTTCAGGTTGCCATACTTGTGTGGTTTTCTTCCATTTCTCTTGCCCCCTGAATCAATGCTTGAACCTCTTGTCTTCCCCATCTGCCATCGGTTTCTGGTCATCTCATCCAATCTGATGGCTTTAAATGCTTCAACATGCCCATGACTCTAATGTTACCTCTCCTGACTATGCCTCCTCCCTGAAGTGTGACTCAGGGATTCAAATGCCTAATTAATATTTCTTCTGTAACATCTCCTGGGCATCTCCAGAAAATTGAGTTCACAGGGAATACTGTTCTATCATTGTATTCTATGAGCTATATTATTTGCTTAAGTGTTATCATTAAAAAGAAATTTTTACTAATAATTCTTCCTAAACCTGATCCTCATTCAGTCTTCTCCACTGCAGTAAATGGCATTATTCCATGTTAGGGACAGTCATTTTATGTTTTCTCGACCACTCTCTTGCTTTCACACTTTCACTTACTAATTGGCAATGTCTCCTGGATTCTGCCTTTGAAATATATTTAGAACCTGACTAATTTTTTTCCAGCTCTAATGTTTTCACTCTCTTTCAGGGGCATAATTAGCCTCTAATTGGTCTTTCTGCTTCTCTTCTTATCTCACTTGAGTCTTACCACATGGCAGCCAAAATGATCCTGTTTAAATGTCAGTTAGATCATGCTAGTTTTCTGTTCTAAGAACTCCAATGACTTTTCACTCAATACGAATACAAGCCAAATTCCTTACAAAGATGTGCAGGATCTCTGTGCTCTTGCCCTCTTTATCTGTTTGTTCACATCTCCTACTCTTTTCATCTCTGTTCAATCCATTCCAGCCATGCTATCTTCCTTTTGGTTTCTAGAATAAGGTACTATGATGATCGATGTCTTGCCTTCAGTCTACCTTATTGTTGTAATGCCCTACCCCTTAGGAATCTTTATACCTAGTTCCCTCACATTTCTCAGTTCTTTATGGTTTCTAGTGTTACCTGCTAGAGGTGTTCTCTGATCACCATATTGCATTCTACTTCCCTGTGATTCTTGTGCCCCTTTCCTACTTTACTGTTCTCTTGTAGTTCTGCTCATTATCTAGTATTACATCTCATTAGTTTAACTTCTTTCGTTTTCCCTTCACTAGAGAATGCTCTTCCCCATCTACATGATTACTTCATACAAAATAGGAATAATTTTTTTTTGGATGAGGCAGAATCTTTGAAAACATGAATCCAGGGGAACTGCAAGAGGTTTCCTGCAGAAAAAAGTTGAAAACTGCTGGTCTCAACATCCTCTGATTCTAATATTCTCTCACTCTAATGACGATTCAGGAATTTGATCATTTATAAAAGTAATAAGTAACAATTAAGAACACTTTACTCTAAATCTAGTACTGTGTTTAGTGTTGTATTTATTTATTCCTCACAACATCCATCATGGGTATGTTTCAAGATGAACAGCAATAATTTCACAATAGACCAAACTAAGGTTTAATAAGTTGCTAATTGGCTGGGCGTGGTGGCTCACGCCTGTAATCCCGGCACTTTGGGAGGCCAAGGCGGGTGGATCATGAGGTCAAGAGATCGAGACCATCCTGGTCAACATGGTGAAACCCCATCTCTACTAAAAATACAAAAAGTTAGCTGGGCATGGTGGTGCTTGCCTATAATCCCAGCTACTCAGGAGGCTGAGGCAGGAGAATTGCCTGAACCCAGGAGGCAGAGGTTGCGGTGAGCTGAGATAGTGCCATTGCACTCCAGCCTGGGTAACAAGAGTGAAACTCCATCTCAAAAAAAAAAAAAAAGTTGCTAATTATTATGTAGTTAGTAAATGATGTTGTCTTTCTCAGAGGATGTAATACTTAGCAGTAAACCATCTTCTTTCATACTTCATGTTAGGCTAGCAGTTGCTATTGGGCTTCATGGGTCCCCCTCTTTTTGGTTACAAATCCTAACCAATAGGACAAAGTTGAGATATTCGAATTTTGTCACTAGTGAGTATGTCATATATGCTGGATCAATAAATGTTTCCAAGCACTGGCTCAATTGTTGGCTATGTCTCATATTTATAGCCAACCCTGAACATGAGTAAAGAAATACTGTATCCACTCAGTACCAGAACACTTACCTGCAATTGTCACAGTCACAAACAACAGAAGATTACATGGCGGATGCTGTGATTTATACCTGTTCAGGGTCCTCAGTGTATTTGATTCCCTAAGCACCTCCGGCACTGATAGTTTTGAAAATCTCTAAAAAGGAAATTAATTTTTAAAAAATGTGGCTTACCTTATTTTATTACTGAGTGCAAATGAAGGAAATGACTTAAACATGATAATATCTATTACATATTAGAAATGTGTTCTCTGCAAAATGCCTTCCTGGGAATTTTATTTATTAAATAATTCCTTGAACAAGCATTACGGTTCATATTCTAGACAGGAAAATATATCCAGACTAGCACTAATTTGCCCAAATTAAATTTAGAAATAAGTGCAATTAGGATTTGATCCAAGGCAATCTGATTATAAAATCTTGGTTTTTCACCTACATCAACGATACTTTAGAGAAGCATAATCTTTGATTATCAATTCACTTATGACTATATGCTTTTACAAGTGGACTTTACTTATTCTGAGTGTCTAGAGAGGTATTTCTTTTGCAACAAACATATCCATTCTCAATTATTGGCTCATTATTTAATTTTGAAGTGAGAAGAAAATTATCATATTAGCAAATGTGACAACTTTAGTTAATGTATCAATTTTAACCAAGGTATCATACTGCCTAAGAGCAACTTGTCAGCTTTCCCCATGGTAATATTTTTTGAGCATGTATTATGTGCCAGGTACCCTGCTAAGTGATTGTCATCTCATTTAGACTTCAACATCATCTTGTAAAGTAAGTGTAATTGTCCTTCTTATTTTACAGATGAGTTACCTGATACATAAAAATGGTTGCACATATGTTGTTCAAGGACATAAAATTAAAAGGTGCTAGAGCCTTGATTCAAAACCAGTCTTTCTAAGGCTCATCACTTGTCCCAAGAACTGCATATTTTTCTAGAATTATTATGTTCTAGATACTCTGAGAGGCACTGGGGACAAGAGATAGGACTAAAGCATGTGTTTTAGTTCTAAGAATGAGGTTGTTTATTGGGAAAAATGATTTTTTTTTAAACAACTACTGCAATACATCTAAGAAAATTATCATACCAGATGGTAAGAAGCAGGCCAGAGTGGAGCCTCTGTAGGGAGAGGTGAGAGCAGGTCTTATGTGCTATGAGAGGCTTCACACAGGAGGAGAAAACATGCCTCTTTGCTTGAAAAATGAGTGGGCAGTTAGCCATTTTTTCTGTTAAAACAAAGGATCCCTGACTCTCATAACTTTCATTGGCTTACCAAAAGTAATTCTTATCAGACTAATCTCACTGCTTTGAGAGGATTATTTGACTGGTGAAGCATGAAAATAAATGTTTGTAGACTTCAGGAAAGCAATAATTCTGTGTGTCAAGGTTATCCCTTTTATAGAAAAGATCTGCCCCATGTGGTAGGAATGCATTCTGGCAAAAGAAACCACAACTTTCAAGGCACAGAAGCAGTCAGTGGAGTGTAGGGTGGAGGAATGGTTGGAGATGTGTCAGAGCTCTCTGGTGTACAGAGCATATTTGAGGAAACAATGGGAATGAGGTTAGATGAGATCAGGAAAGATTTTTTAGGCTGTACTCAGAATATTGTTGGAGGTGGTATTAATCATGTTATTTTTTTAAGTTTTCTGTATTTTATGATACTTTAACATCTTGGGGGCCTTGCTAATCCTTAAGCAAGATTGCTCATCCCAGAGCCAATTCCTAGATATAAGAATCAGCATGTCCGAGTGACTGTTTTTCATATGCAAACCAGTCAGTTTAAAGCCCATGTCCCCAACCACTTCCTTTATTTTACTCCCACATACACCAAGCCAATTTTTCTTCTGCCTTAAATCACTCCAGGGCCAGGTACCTGGCATCTAGAAACCACATCTGTAGCCCAGAGCCAGGGAAAAGCATTCAAGTTATCCATCTGAAAACTTGCTCAAGCTTACCTACCCTGCTTTGCCCATTCCTTCACACAGAAGCCTCAACAAGGGCTCTGAGCTCTTTTGGGAGATCCGCTGCTCCCTTCAGAGCTAGTAGCAGGAAGATTTAAGTGTGCTGAATCTGTGCCCGCAGCCGCCCCTTCCTCTAGGTGCTCTGTCCCAGGGAGATGGGAATTTCAGCTCTAAGTCCCTGACTGGGGCTGCTGCCTTTGCTGTCTTTGTTTCAGAGATGCCCTGGCCAGAGAGGAGGAATCCATAGAGGCAGTCTGGCTACAGCAGGTTTGTGGACTGAGGTAGGCTCCACCCAGTTTGAACTTCCCAGAGGCTTTGTTCACACTGTGAGGGGAAAACCACCCACTCAAGCCTCAGTCATGATAGGGCCCCCCTTCCCCACCAAGCTGGAGTCTCCCATGTTGACTTCAGACTGCTCTGCTGGCAGTGAGAATTTCAAGCCAGTTGCTGGGCTCTGTGGGGATAGGATCCACTGAGTTAGACCACTTGGCTCCCTGGCTTCAGCCCCCTTTCCAGGAGAGTGAATGGTTCTGTTTCACTGGCCTTCCAGGCGCCACTGGGGAATGAAAAACAAACAAACAAACAAACAAAACAGCTTCTGCAGCTAGTTCGGTGTCTGCCCAAATGGCTGCCCAATTTCGTGCTTGGAACCCAGGGCCCTGGTGGTGTAGGCACCCAAGCGAATCTCCTGGTCTGCAGGTTGCAAAGACCACGGGGAAGTGTAGCATCTGGGCTGAAATGCATTGTCCCTCCTGGCTTCCCTTGGCTAGGAGAGGGAGTTCCCTAACTCCTTGTGCTTCCCAGGTGAGGTGATGCCCCACTGTGCGTTAGCTTGCTCTCTGTGGGATGCACCCACTGTCTAACCAGTCCTAATGTGATGAGCCAGGTACCTCAGCTGGAAACGCAGAAATCACCTGCCTTCTGTGTTGATCTCACTGGGCGCGGCAGACCAGAGTTGTTCCTATTCAGCCATCTTGCTAGCCTGCACTGATCTGTGTCTTTCAAACCATTCTTACATCCCTGAGAGGAATCCCACTTTGCCATGCTAAACGACTTTAAAAAAAAAATTTACTTATTTTACTTTAGGTGCATACTATATCTGGCATTTTTTTACATCACTGTTCTTCAATGATATTGACCTGAAGTTTTCTTTTATTGATGTGTGTTTGTTTTTATTTTTGCTTTTGCAGGGTGCTTAGGTTTTTCCAAGTATAAGATCTGATCAGCAAAAACAAAAAGAATTTTACTTTTTCCATTCCAATTTGTCTTACCATGTCTTTGTCAGGGTCATACTACCATCATAAATGAGTTTGGAAGTAATCCCTTCTCTATTTTTTAGAATAATTTGAGTAGAATTGGTATTCATTGTTCTTTAAATGTTTGTAAAAATTCAGCAGTGAAGCCATTCGGTCCTGGGCTTTTCTTTGCTGGGAGACTTTTAATTATTGCTTTATTATCTCATTACTTGTTATTGGTCTATTCAGGTTTTGGATTTCTTCATGGTTCAATCTTGGTAGGTTGTATGTGTCTATAAATTTACTGATTTCTTCTAGGTTTTCCAATTTATTGGCATGTAGTTGTTCATATCAGTCTCTAAGGATATTTTGAATTTCTGTGGTATCGGTTTTAATGTCTCCTTTTCATCTCTGATTTCATTTATCTGGGTATTCTCTTTTTTTTTTTCCTTAGTCTGACTAAAAGTTTGTTGATTTTGCTTACTTTTTTTAAAAAAGAACAACTTTTTATTGCATTGATTTTTGCATTTTTTGTTTCCATTTACTGTCAATGTCAATATATCTGTGTATTAGCTACAGGTAGTTCTTTCTGCAAAATGAGTTATGATGTGACTTATTTAAAACTAGAACAATCACAACTAGTGTATAGATAAACCCCAGTAAATCCTAGTGTTTTTGTCTTAAAAACTTTTTGGTACCTTTCATGATGAATATGGCTGCTCTATACTTTAAGGCAGCCAGTGTGTTTCCCAGACTTTCAACTATGTTGTACTGGAGGAAAGGTTCAAATAGAAAGATGATTTATTATAAGTATTCAAAACTGTCAGTGTGACAGAATTTCATCATATCTGGAAAATGTTAGCACTCTAGTTTTCAATTTAATATTTTGTAGCCTTTAGAACATGTGAATAAAAATTATGTAGTTTTTTTCTTGTCAGTCATGGATACATCAGGGTTAATGAGATTGTTCTGTGATAAGGGCCTGGGCATGCTGGTGGATGGCATGGAGACCCATGCTCCCCAAGGGAAAGCTAGGGTATAATTAAGATAGAAGACAGGACTAATTTTAGCTGGGAGCAGGTAAGTTAATCATGTGGATTTTACAATCTTACTAAAATCAGCCTCAGAGATTGAGCCCTAATTTATATTTCTTAGAGTCCCAGAGTTCTTGCATTTCCTTTGAAGGCCAAGAAGATGTCAATATGTAAAGATGATGAGACTTTGAGGTCTACTCTTTTTAACATGAGGCAGAGAAGGTTAAAAAATCCCGAGGTTATTAGTCGAACCCAACCACTTGACCCACTAAAGGAAAAGCTGAGGAAGAAGAAAAAAAAAAAAAAAAAGACAATTTTATTACCTAATTATAGCTAGTTACCAGCAGAACTTAAATCTCTGGCTCTTATCTTTGGACATTGCATAGTTAATGATTTAATTACTGGTGGCAGCAGATTCAGAGACAATACAGGCACTGAAAGCACAACAAACTCCTTGTGGGCAAAAACGTCTTATGTTTATGCCTTCTAGAACCTGGCACACACATAGCACTTAAAATATTTTGGTAAATATATGAAAGTAAAGATCTCAGACTGAGTTAAATTGTCCCTCACAATAGCCCCATTCTACCTGTTTTTAACTACCTTTTCTCTGAATTCATTTGAGAGTAAAAGAAATTTCAACATTTGGACCGGGCATTTCTCATGACCCTAGGAAAAAAAAAATGCTTCAGAGTGATTGGGTATTTCTTTCTTCTGTCGAGTTCTGCCCCAATTTCTTTTTTCTTTTCTTTTCTTTTCTTTTCTTTTTGTTTTTTGAGACGGAGTTTCGCTCTTGTTACCCAGGCTGGAGTGCAATGGCACGATCTCGGCTCACCGCAACCTCCGCCTCCTGGGTTCAGGCAATTCTCCTGTCTCGGCCTCCTGAGTAGCTGGGATTACAGGCACGTGGCACCATGCCCAGCTAATGTTTTGTATTTTTAGTAGAGACGGGGTTTCACCATGTTGACCAGGATGGTCTCGATCTCTTGACCTCGTGATCCACCCGGCTCGGCCTCCCAAAGTGCTGGGATTACAGGCTTGAGCCACCGCGCCCGGCCCCAATTTCTAATTAATGTGTGAACCAACTTCAAATAAGAAACAAATGCATCTTTCAGCATGTCTTTCAAAAATACTAATTTAATTTATATGTCTTTCAGATTGTAGAGTTAAGGATTAGAGACCACCTTTCAGAATGTAATATTCACTTAGCAAGAAGATGTTAACTTTGGTAGCGTTTATCAAAAACTTATTTGCATTTCCTATCTTTTTCCACTACTATCATTTACCTAGGACAAAAACAGATTTTCATTTTGTGTTATTATGACATTTTTTTTCAATTAGTTTTTTGAAAGCAGCTTTCACATCCTTGTTCCGCAAACTGTAGATCAAGGGATTCAACATGGGGATGATAATTGTGTAGAACACAGAGGCCCACTTGTCTTGGTCCAGGGAGTAGCTGGATGTTGGCCTCAGGTACATAAACATGACTGTGCCGTAGAAGAGGGTGACACCAGTAAGGTGAGACCCGCAGGTGGAGAAAGCCTTAAGGCGGCCTTCAGCTGTACGCATTCTGATAATTGCAATGAGGATAAAGATATAGGAGATGAAGATGATGAGGATGGTGCTGAATTCAATGAAGCCACACAGACTGAAGAGCAAGATCTCACTGATGTAGGTGTCTGAGCAAGAAAGAGCCAAGAGTGGTGGGATTTCGCAGAAGAAATGGTTGATGATATTGGAACCGCAGTAACTCAGGCTGAAGGTGAGGGTAGTGTGGGCTACTAAACTCACTAGACCAGCCAGGTAAGAGCCCAGCATGAGAGCCAAGCAGACCCGCTTGGACATGAGAGAGTTATAGTGGAGGGGTTGACAGATGGCCACAAAACGATCATAGGCCATGGCTGCCAGGACATAGCACTCAGCATCTACAAAACCTACAAAGAAAGCAAACTGGGTGGCGCAGCTGGAAAAGGAGATAACCTTGTGCTTTGTTAGGAAGTCAGTCAGCATCCTGGGGGCAATGGCTGAGGAGTAGCCCAGGTCAACAAAAGACAGGTTGCATAGGAAAAAATACATGGGTGTATGAAGTTGAGTGTCTGTTATAATCAGGATAATCATACCAACGTTCCCCACTACATTGACCAGGTAAACTATGAGGAAGACCACGAAGAAGATGATCTGCAGCTGAGGGTCCTGGGTGATGCCCATGAAGATAAACTCAGTCACCATTGAGTGGTTTTCTTTATCCATTGCATCAAGCGCATGTGTGCCTAGATTTAGTTTATTGATGGATGTAGTAATTTCACAGTCGCTGAAAATATTCAAACTAAAGACAAGCAATTATATGCCAGAGATATTGCAAAATAGCTATATATCTATTTATCTATTGTGTGTGTATACGTATATTTCTACAATAAATGAAGGCTTTGTTTAGGATGATTTATAAAAATCTTTCCAGTAATTCGATTCTAGAACTGACAGAATAACTCAAATGGCTTTTTAAAATTTGATGATGTGTCCTCTTCATGTGCCCATTCACAACAGAAGGAAGTGTTAACTTCTTGGGAATGGCACGTTCTGCTTTTCCAATGACCTTGGTGTTCTGGGGTCATTCATCACGTGATACGAGATGTTTGACTCAGTCTGCACAATTGTGTGTGTTATTAATGAGTAAAGAAGAACAGTGTTGAGTATTTCTTCTTTCTAAAACAAAGCAAATATAAATGCAGATAAAGAATAAACTTTAATTTTCATTACAGGTGGACATAGAAAGGAAAGTAAGTGACACAAGGATCTCAAAGTGTAACAAGTCACACGTACACAGAAAGTAAAATATTTGGAGCTGAAGGTCAGAAATATTAAAAAAAAGTAAAATATAATTTTCAAAAGCCAGAGTTACTGAGTTGTCCAGGAAAAATAAAAAAGCATATTTCTGATTTTAAAAACTTGTATCCATAATATGCAAAGAGATTTTAATACCTAATAATAAAAATCAAACAATCCTATAAAAATAGGCCAAAAATTTCAATAGATACTTACTTACCAAAGGAGATAGCTGAATAGCAAATAAATGCATAAAACTCAAATATTCATTAGGAGAATACAAGTTAAAAACACAATAAAATAATGTTACACACTAATGATTAAACTTTTAAAAGACTGAATATACCAGGTGTTGACAAGGAAATAGAGTAACTGAAAATTTCATCATTATTGGTAGAAATGTAAAGTAGTACAACCACTTTGGAAAACACCTTGGTAGTTTCTTATAATCTCATTTATTAACCCTGAAAACATCCTAACTGTACATAGGTGACAGAGTAAATAAATTGAGGTATGTCAATAAAATGAAATTCTACTTAATGATCAAAAGAATCAGATTATTGATACAAACAACGTGTTGAATGAATCTCAAAATAATTAGACTGAGAGAAAACAGCCAAATAGAGTATACCTTGTGTGATTCCATTTATAAAAACCTAGAAAGTGTAAGATAATTAATATTGACAAGATGCAGATCAATGATCTCCTTGATAGAGGTGTGTGGCAGGTGGAGTGGAGGGGAGGGAGTATCAAGAGGCATGAGGAAACTTTGGGGGTAATGGATTTATCTACTATCTTCATGGTGATAATGGTTTTGTGAGTGTATACATATATTAAGACATATCAAACTTTATACTTTAAACATATTCAATTTGTTGTACATCAGTTATACCTGAATAAAGTTGCTACAAAAAAGAAGAGAATACTTGTCCCTACTCTAGCTCAGTTATTTCTCACTACATGTGAATGCAGAGATCTTTTCATAGGCTAGATTGATGAGGAAATAAAAAGTTAGGTTGAGGGGATGGCAAAGCCACTTGCTGATTCTGTGAGTTGCAGAATCAGAATTTGGTACTACCAATTCTTGAATTTGGGACTACCAATTCCCTATGTAGTGCTGTGTTCATTTTTTCCCTTTACTTCCTCATGCAGGAATTTTAAAATAACCCACAAGAAAAAAACAAAAACAAAGAATTATCTAACATTTGTCAGCGTGTTCTTCAACTTTAGCAAGAGAAAAAATAATCTTATTGTTGAAAATGGATCTAACAAAAGTTATCCTTATACTTTTTTTTTTTTTTTTTGCTGTAAATGACTTTATACTTTTTTTTTTTAAGACGGAGTTTCAGTGTGTCTCCCAGAGTGGGGGCAGAAGTGTGATCTAGGCTCACTGCAGCAACCTCCATCTCCTAGGTTCAAGTAATTCTCCTGCCTCAGCCTCTCAAGTAGCTGGGACTACAGGCACTCACCATCATACCCGGCTAAGTTTTGTATTTTTAGAAGAGACAGGGTTTCACCATGTTGGCCAGGCTGGTCTTGAACTCCTAACCTAAGGTGACCCAACTGCCTCTACCTTCCAAAGTGCTAGGATTACAGGCGTGAGCCAAAATGTCCAGCCTATACTTATACTTTTATAGATGAGGAAACAGACTCAGACACTAATTAAAATGCAGATACTAAATTGCAGTATTTAAAGGGGTAAGAAATAACCTTGTAAGAAGAACTATAAGTCAGGTCTCTAATCCACAGCTGGATATGTGCCAGTCAATCCATTTAATTGGATTGGAAAATGTAATTGAAAATAATTCCTTTCTCCCTTATGGATTCAAGGCTCTGATTAAGTAGTGTATGCGAAGGTGCTTCACCAGCAGTAAAGTATCCTGCCTGTTCTCATTTATAGTGAACAGACAATTTCAGGTTTTACCATCTGGTACTCCTTAGTTCGACATAAGACTCAGCTTCTTGGAGTCATAATTTTTCATTTGCTCATTGAAGCTAATAATGGCGCCCTCAATAAATTTCTGTAAAAATTTATTAGAATATAGATGAAGTGCTGAATTTAGTGGCATCATGTATTAGGTGCTTAGCGCAATTGGTCACTGTGTGCAAGTATTGATGTTTTAATTCATTAGATGAGTGTGCACTCATAATTCCTAGAAAAAATGTCTCTTGCCTATTCCATAGAAATGAGGTATCATGGACTGCCTGAACTTTCAAGGAGACATAGGTTTAATTCTGTAGCAATTCCATTAAATAATATTTAGAGACAAGGCTGTAATATTCAAAATTGAGCTTGACTAAGACAAAAGGAAAGAAAACTTTTCTTTTTGGTCCCATGTCACCAATCTTCAGCCCAGTAGACTCTAAAAGAAATGATAGAATATTCAGCAGATAAACATAAACATATTCCATTGCTAATAATAAATTCAAATATTTAACACAAGACCAGCACAAGTATTCTGTTATGGAAGTAAAGAAAGGAAAAAAATGTATTTAAGATTTCTGTGTATCACTTGCTTTTTCAAGTTCATGTGAAAAGAATAGTGGAGCAAGAGTCTGGAGATCCTGTTTATAGTCCTATGTTTTTTAAAGAATCAATTGTTTGATCTCAGTAAATTGCTACATTAGATGCACCTTCCTTATCTGTGATACAGATGGGGTGGTGAATACAAATTCTGTAGAATCTTCCATTCCTATCATTTTCTGAATTTAGTCTTGTAAGGAGACATCCTAAAAGCTCAACCCATGGTCTTTGTCTTTTTTGGAAATATTAAAATAGCAGGGACATTGGGACAACCAGAACCCCATGCTCAAAGGGACACTGGGCAGCATAGCACTCCACCCCAAGAGGTCACATCTCTTTCTACACTCAGACCTATGACCTGACCTGCTTTCTACCTGCTGAGTGTTCCTCTTCTTTGATGGATTATACCATATGTACTTTCCATGAAGAATCCAAACACGGTGAATTAATCTGGTTGCTCTCTGAGCTACTTGCTCATCCCAGCCTCGCTCCTGTGTGCAGGAGGTATTTAAGTGTTACAATTCCCAGAAGAAATATGATGAAATACTTTCTGCACTCACAGGAAACACAAAGATTTGATGAACTGTGATTCTCCAAGGAATTTCACTCTCTTCCCCTTCAACTTTAATGATAAAAGAATGAAACACAGGGGAATTTTAAAAAGACATTCTAGTGATGATTGAGTTGGTAAGAAGCACTGCATGGGCTGTTTTGTGTAAACTAAAGATGCCTACATAAGGAGAATTAGGGAGTAGTTGAGAAAAGTCTTTTTGCTGATACCTTAATGTCTGTTGAAAGAGGATCAAATAGCAAAAGGATCAAATAGAAATCAAACAGTAACTAAAGGTAAGACAAAGGTATAAAGGGTTCTGTCCATTTAACTTACCGTCCTGATAAAAAATTTACAATCCTGTTAATTTACTCAATCACTTCTCAACACAAAGTTACCAGAGCATTGAGTGGCTAAAAAAGAATGTTAAATAAATACTGTATGTGTCATTTTATTACAAAATGTATAAACCATTAGGAAAAGTATAAGCAGCAATAAATGAGATTATTTTAAAGCCTTTTTAAATAAAAGAAATGTCCATGAAACTTTAGTATTATTTTTAGAAACTCTTAGGAATTGAGAACCCAAATCTTTGACTAAAGAATCTCTGGGCTACGCATAGCCAAGTCAATTCTAAGCAAAAAGAACAAAGCGGGAGGCATCACACTACCGGACTTCAAACTATACTACAAGGCTACAGTAATCAAAACAGCATGGTACTGGTACCAAAACAGAGATATAGACCAATGGAACAGAACAGAGGCCTCACAGGAAATACAACATACCCACAACCATCTGATCTTCGACAAACCTGACAAAAACAAGCAATGGGGAAAGGACTCCCTGTTTAATAAATGGTGTTGGGAAAACTGGCTAGCCATGTGCAGAAAGCAGAAACAGGACCCCTTCCTGACACCTTACACCAAAATTAACTCCAGATGGATTAAAGACTTAAACATCAGACCTAATACCATAAAAACCTTAGAAGAAAATCTAGGCAAAACCATTCAGGACATAGGTGTAGGCAAGGACTTCATGACCAAAACGCCAAAAGCAATGGCAACAAAAGCCAAAATAGACAAATGGGACCTAATCAAACTCCACAGCTTCTGCACGGCAAAAGAAACAGTCAGTAGAGTGAATCGGCAACCAACAGAATGGGAAAAAATTTTTGCAGTCTACCCATCTGACAAGGGGCTGATATCCAGAATTTACAAAGAACTAAAGCAGATCTACAAGAAAAAAACAAACAAGCCCATTCAAAAATGGGCAAAGGATATGAACAGATACTTTACAAAAGAAGACATACAGGAGGCCAACAAACATATGAAAAAATGCTCATCATCACTGGTCATCAGAGAAATGCAAA